TATGTTTATTTTTCACTTACAGCACATCTCAATTTAGATTAGCCACACTTCAAGTGCTCAATAATGACATATTGTTGGTCACTATTGTATCAGACAGATGAGATACAGAACCTAAAATAATATCTTAATTAACTGACTGATTGAATTTGATTCCCTTACTAAAATCCTCTGCTCTAGGCAAACTGGTCTATTGATCACCAGTCCTATGTACTCCGTTGTGTTTGATGCGCTACTAACTTCATGTCTTTGATGGAAACTTTTACTCTTCCGAGAAATTCCCATTTTAACTTTCTTTCTGCTTAAACTAGTGTTCCAGTATGCAGCTTAAATTCTAAATTCTCCATACAATCTTCTCTGACCCCTCAGCCCACAGCATCCTCTCCCTCCTTCAAAATTATGCCATTTGTCATATATTCCATATTATATAATTTATTTTATATGTCATAATTGACAACAAACATGTCTTACATGCCTAGTCATTATTGTACCAGGGACTGGAAGTACTATCGCTACTTTATAGGGATGTGATCCTAACAGTATTGTAGATGTAAAAAGACCAATTAAAAAGTAAAGAAAATATTTGATAAGTGCCAAATAGGTGATATAGATAAGTGTTCTCCAAATGTTCTCCTGGGAAAACAGGACAGTTACTGATGATTTCCCCCACCCTTGTTCCTTCTAATAAGATCTCCATGGTTAAATAAGTTTTAGAAATGCATATTTAAACAAAGTTAGACAGGTATATGTTAAAAATAAGACTTCTCAGAGGCTTTTATATACCAAAACATAGTGTTATACTCCAAGAGGAGGATATAGTATGCAGCATTTCCAAAACATTGTCAATGCAGAAACTTTTTTCTTTGCAGCCCTTCATAGGATGTTGTTGTTAGGTGCTGTCAAGTCAGCTCTGACTCATAGTGACCCTATGCACAACAAAATGAAACACTGTCTGGTCTTGCACCCTCCTCACAGTCCTTGCTATACTTGAGCCCATTTTTGCAGCCACTATGTCAATACATCTCATTGAGGGTCTTCCCCTCTTTCTCTGACCCTCTACTTTACCTACCAAACATGATATTTTTCTCTAGGGACTGGTCACTTCTGATAACCTGATCTAAGTATGTGAGAAGAAGTATGGCCATTCTTGCATCTAAGGAACATTCTGGCTTTACTGTTCCAAGACAGTCATAGGATGACTATTTCACAAAACTCTCTTTGGGAAAGTTGGCCTAAAACACAATGAAAATTATAGAAGTTGAGAAGGAAAACTGATCCCTTGGATATGGGATACTAGAAGGGCCTCAAGGAGCAAGACAGTAGGCATTTTAAAAATGGGGAAAATGGAGAATGGCTTTCTGGGTGGGGAAAAGTTCTCGAACAGTGGGATGGAGATAAGAATATCCAGCACATCCGAAAACCACAACAGAGTGCGTGGGGAGAAGCAGGGAACGTCCCAGTGTGGACTGTGTTGGATGTCCACTCAGGAAAAATGGAAAAGGTGGCTGCTCTTTTGATAGTTGTTCAATTTCTTTATTTCTATGTTCCCTAAATGCTCTGTACACTTTCTGTTTCTCTGCTCATGCTATTCCATTGGCATAAAAATATCTTTCTCTCCTTTCCCTCCTACAAAACCCCAACTTATCTATTAAGGCACAGCGTAGATGCAACTTTTTATATGATTAGTGAATATTCCTTTCCTCTGTGTTCCTCAGACACTATTTTATTGTTTAGATCTCTATTAATTCTATGTTATAATTGCTGTTATGCTAGTTTTCCACCACAAGATATCAAAAGCTCTGATGTTGTATTCCTGATAGCTCTGAGCCCAAGACCTGGGACACATTAAATCTTCAAACATCTTTGTGAAATGGATAAATGGATGAATGAGTATAAGAATAAATACTTCGTTGTACTCACATAGATAGGTTGGCAACATCATCAAGCAGGAATTGTAGATCATTTATATATATTCAATGACAGGTTATTATTAGAATAGTTTTGGATTTACAGAGAGGTTGGGAGGATAGTTCAGAGTTCCCATATTCCAGACAGTTCAGAGTTCTCATATTCTCTGCACCCACTTTCCTCTATTGTAGTGTGCTATATCAGTATGATACAATTGTCACAGTGAATGAACCAATATTGACATAAAAGCAAACTCACTGCCTTCGAGTCTATTTGACCTTTAGCGACCCATCCATGGGTTTCCAAGATGTTATCTCTATGGAACTAGATGGCCCAATCTTCCTTCCAAGGAGTGGCTGGTGGGTTTGAATTGCCAGCCTCTGGTTACCAGTCAAATGCCTTAGGCGCTACACTGCCAGAATTCCTATATTAACATATTATTATTAATTGAAGACCACACTTTTTCAGATTTTCTTAGGTTTCACCTAATGTCCTTTTTGTTCCATCCAGGATGCATTACATTTACTTGTTATAACTCTTGCAGCTCCTCCAGACCGTAGCAGTTTCTGAAACTTTCCTTGTTGATGACTTTGGCAGTTTTGAGAAGTATTGGTCAGGTGTTTTGTAAGATGCCCACTAATGGAATTTATCTGGTGTTTTCCTCATGATAAGACTGTGGTTATGGGTTTGGGGGAGGAAGACCACAGAGGCAAAATGCTACTCTCATTACATCATGCCAAGGATGCATGCTATCAACATGACTGATCACTATTGATGTTCATTTTGATCATCTGGCTAAAGTAGTGTTTGCTATTTTTTATTTTCTGCAGTGGTCAGCCTTGCTTCTTGACAGAGTCAAAGCTTCTTAAGGACAAAGGTAGAGTTTACTACCTTTGTGTTCACATCATCCAGCACTGATTTCAGAACAATGTGGGCATGTGGCTTATGTTTGGTAAACAACAAAAAAAATGGAGAATATTTGAATATATTTTTTGAGTTGTATATTCCATGATAAAATTAAGGAAATAACTTTAATAACTTTTATGAGTGGCTCCTAAAACTTGCAAATTATCTGTTGTATTAACTTTTATTATATAAAAGGAAACTCAAGAGCACATTTAAAAGGGATTCTTCATGAATGAACAAGTAACATTTATTCTATGTGAACAGAACAAGATAACATAGGTACTATCCATACCAATTATTTGCATGGTTTTGAGCAGAAACAGTAGTATTGAAAAGAGCAATCAAATAACAACCCCAACAGCATACTGAAGGATGCAATGGCTTCTGCTTCTGACCTTGGGAGAGGAAACAATGACATAGGGATGATAGCAACTTGTTTATAAATCATAACAGCCTGGTCAAGATGATGCCTATGTTTGTGAATTGTCCTCACACTTTCTGAGATCTCTCACAAGTATGAATCAGATATAGTGAGTGGGTTAATGTGCACACACTACTATAAGAAAATATCCCCTGTCTCTTTCCTTAGGAATTAAGCACAAATTAGGACTGAACTGCTCCCCAAGAGGCTCCCTTGGGAAAGCAAGAGCCTCACTGGGGCTGTTCACAAATGAAATTTTTGACTGGCTGGGAGAGAGTAGAAACCTGTGCAAGGAAAAGAGAAGGAGAATAAGTGCAGAGCAAAGATGTTTTCAAGTGGCATACCAGAACAGAGGGAAGAGTCTGTGGAATAAGAGAGGGGAATGAGCAGGGGAAGTGTCTGCAAAGGGTGAGGTATGCTGAGCTCTGAGGCAGTTATCCAATGGGAATATAATATTTACTCATCTAGCAAATATGTTTGGAGAAGTGACTGAGGTGTGCCCACCTTAGCTAGTCTGAAAGCATTGATTTATTCTATTTCATTTGAAAAGCAATTCATTTTCTCTTGTTTTTTATAGTCTTACTGGATTTTTTAAAGTGTCATTTCATTTGGAAATTGTGAAGATATCTTCAACTTCTTCGATCTGCTTGTTTACATTTGTTCACAAAATAAGTTCATAGTTGCTGAATGGTCCTTTAAAACTCGACCCTCACAATCAGTTTTACAGCTTTCCTAAACCAAGGGTAAAAGAGAGCATAAATCGAAGGGTTCATGGCTGAGTTATAATAAGCACACCAACAGCAAATCTCATAAATATAGGCAGGAGTTATGAAGCCCATATAAGCATCAATCAGTGAATCAATACTGTATGGTAACCATGAAATCATGAATGTTATTACAGTGATACCCAGGGTCTTAGATGCTTTTCTCTCTCTCTTGGCCACTCTGGCTTTGTAATTCTCTGATGATGACTCTGTTTTGCTACTAGTAGTTTCAATCTTTTTAGCCTGTTGTCTGGCCACTAGAAAAATATTACTGTAGAGAATTAACATAACAAGAGTAGGAGTAAAGAAGGACAGAAAATCTATCAACACCCAGTTTTGATTTACAACAGTCTGACAACCATCTATGCAGTTGAGGGCACTTACAGCCCCTCGTCATTCCCACCTGTGAAGAACACAGCACCACTGTACACCATGGGCAGGACCCAGGAGAGGCTGATGCATATTCCTGACACGGACACTGTGAACTTGGTAGGATAGACCAGAGGGTCAGTAACAGCAATGTACCTGTCGATGGCGATGAAGCACAAGTGGAAGAGAGAAGAGTAGCAAAAGGCCACATCGCAGCACGTGTGGAAAGTGCAAAACCTCTCCCCAAAGTACCAGCAGCTCTCCACGGACCTGACCATGCTGATGGGCATCACAATCACTCCCACCAAAAAGTCAGCGCAGGCCAGGGAGGCAATGAGAAAACTGGTTGGAGAATGTAGCTGCTTGAAATGAAGGATTGAAGTCATCACCAGGAAGTTTCTAAACACGGCCAGCACAGCCCCACTGCCAAACACGGAGTATAGAACCACCCGGGGTCCAGGTGAGTAGGGAGATTTCACACAGGATCCGTTTACGTTCTCATAGCACAGCTGCATGGGGGCAGGTGGGGACCCACTGCTGCTCATGATGCTCATGGTCTTTCTTTCTTGGTTATTATAAAGGACATAGGAATCCAATTTTCAATGCTCCTGTTAAAACACACAAGCACACACATAAATCTACCAGATACTTGAAGATATATTTTTTCAAATTTCCATTTTGATTATAAATATCAGTTTCCATAAAAAAATAATATCCAACAAAAATTGTGCTGCACAAGATTACAACTAATAAATACCAAGTAATTGTAATTTTATAAATTCTCTTTTAGCTATAAGTATTTTATTTCAGTTTTTTACCTCTAGAGTTCTTCTTTGCAACAGTCACTGGTATGAAATGTAATTATGTAATTGAAGGATCACCTCCTATTGATTTATCTTATGATGTCTGATCAGCATTACTGCCTAAAGCCCACAGTCTTTCCAGATAAATAAATGCCACCAATGGAAATATCCCCCAGTGAAATCCCCAGAGTGTAAGGAAGGTGTGAACTAATACAATTATTTTCAACAGTGATTACTAACAAAGTTATTCTACAAAACAACCTTTTACATTAAATTATTTTGGGCCAAAGATATATATTTTTTTTTTCTTTTTTCTTTTTTTTTTTTTTTTTTTTTTTAGTGTGTAGACTTGAACCATCTCCCTGTTCTGTCTCCTACTCAATTCCTAGTCATGACTTGGGTATCTTATTTAATTTTGTCACAAAGATACAAAAGGACGTTAGAAATAAGACTTAAACTTGGCTCCCTCGGCTCCCTCTCTTCTGCTAAGAACTAACACACAGAAAATGTAACATACATCGAGGGAACAGTGTTTAGATACACAGAATTTCTGAGGTATTATGACTGTCTTCTTAGGTATTATGCTTGCTCAGTGATTAAGTGTGTGGTTGGTAACTGAAAGGTTGGTGGTTCAAACTCACAGTTGCTCCTCAGTAGAAAGATTAGGCAGTCTGCTTCCATAAAGATTTACAGTCTTGCAAATCCATGGGGCAATTCTACTCTGTCCTATAAGGTGGCTATGAGTCAGAAGTGACTCAATGGCAGTGGGTTTAATTCTTCAGAGAAGCAGACTTCCACGTCTTTCTCTTGTGAAGCAGCTGGCTGATTCATACTGCTAACCTTTGGTTAGCAGGTGACCACTTTAACCACTGGGCTACCAGGGGTCCTCAAATGCCGGTAAAATCCAATTCCTCAAACCCACTGTGATAACCAAAATTGCCTTCTGACGTTGTCAAATGTCTTGGGGTGGGGGGAGCAAAAATCATCCCCTGTTGAGAACTACTCCTCTATGCAATAAAGAAGTATCATGTGATCTTGGACATTTGTTTAGAGAAATAGTTATATACTTCCCTCCAATATTTTGAGATTTATTCATTAATTTATTCATCCATTCAACACATATTATTGAGTTCCAGAAGCTGGCTGTAACACAATGAATAAAATACATATGATTCCTATCCTCATGAAGCTTAGAAATAGACATCAAAACAAGTAGAGAAATCAATATATGAATATAATTTTGGGAAGTACTGTAAAGATGAAAGACAAGGGTACTTGACAGCATTATATGGAAAGAAACTACTTCAAATTAGGAAGGCAGAGATGTGGAATCATGTACTTCCTTCTTTTTTTACATAAAAATATTCTTTTAAAAAATATAACAATGGTGTTATTGGTTTTGTATCCTGGGCAAAATTAACCTCATGTTGCTTTTTATAATTGAAAGAAATTTTAGAAGAAAAAAATTAGAAGGAAGACACAGAGAGGTGCCTAAAAGGTACAGACAACAAAGATAAACACTTTTACACACACAATACGGCCTTGTCAACAACAACAAACATTGATGTACAGGTTGATACCCAGGTAGACAGGCTGAATGATCAAGTATGTCTGGGAAAAAAGTAGCATATCTGTGACCATATGTAAGTTTGGCAGATGATAGTTCCACTTATGTATTTGTATGTGCTATAAGAATGTCTATATAAATATAGCTAACAGGGGGCTCTATTTATATGGTTAGCCATAGCCAACCACCCTAAAGGAGCTCTGGTAGCATAGTGCCTAAGGCATTTGACTGCTAACCAGAAGCCTGGTGGTTCATACTCATCAGCCACTCCTCAGAAGGAAGATTGGGTGATCTACTTCCGTAGTAATACTGCCTCAGAAACCCAAGGAGGGGCTGCTATGAGTCAGATCTGACTGGATGGCAGTGAGTAACCACCCTAAGGGATCGAGTTGTTGGGTCTCTGGACTTGGGACCATAGTCACGAGGGACATCAAGCTCAACTGGCATAATATACTTAACAAAAACATTGTTCTACATCCTACTGTGGTGAGTAGAGACTGTGGTCTTAAAAGTTTGCAAGCAACCATATAGATTCAATAACTGGTCTCTTCTCCTCTAGAGCAACGAAGAATGAAGAAAATCAAAGACATACGAAAACAGTTAGTTCAAGGGACTAGTGGATCATGTGAACTTCAGCCTACATGATCCTGAGACTAGATGCCTGGCTACCATTGTCAACCACTTGGAAAGGAATCAGTGCAGGAGATCCTGAATAGAGTAGGAGAAACATGTGGGGAAAAAAAACTCAAAATTATAATTATAAAAAAAAGACTGGGATTACTGGTCTGATAGAGACTAGTAAAACCCCCAAAATTATGACTCCTAGTCACCTTTCAAGCCTAGAATTAAACTCACTCCCATGGCTTCCAGCCAAACAACAGACAGGAATACAAGGTGAACATTTATACCAGGTAGATATACTCCTTAGAACAATCAACCATGGGAGATCAAAACGGAGTTGCACAGGGAGGTAGCTCAGAGGGAAGGAATGCATGGGAAAGGACACAGGGAAAAGCTAATCACAGGGAGGAAGTGGGAAGAGAGCTCTTACATTATGGGGATTTCAATCAATGTTACAAAATAAAATGAGTATGAACTGCTGTATGAAAAATGAACTTGTTTTGCAAACTTTTGCCCAAGTCACGATTAAAATAAATAAAGAAAAGTAGAAAAAAATCATTTTAGTCATGCTTGAAAACAAAGAATCTGTAGACAATGTTCTGCACCTCCAGAGAGTTGTTGTTATTGTTATTAGGTGCCAGCAAGTCATTTCCAACTCACAGCAGCCCCATGTACAACAGAATGATACATTGTCCAGTCCTGCACCATCCTTACAGTCATTGCCATACTTGAGCCCTTCGTTGCAGCAGCCACTGTGTCAATCCCTCTCATTGAGAGACTTCCCAGTTTTCATTGACCCTCTACTTTACCAAGCTTGAAATCTTTCTCCAGGGGCTGGTCCCTTTTGAAAACATGAGCAAAGTACTAGAGAGGAGGTCTGACCATTCTCACTCTAAAGGAACATTCTAGCTGTTCTTCTTCCAAGATAGATTTGTTCTTTCTTATAGCAGTCCATTGTACATTCAATATTATTTGCCAGCACCACAATTCAAATGCATCAATTCTGCTCTCTTCCTTATTCATTGTCCAGGTCTCACATGCATATACTCAAAACCAAACTCATTTCTATGGAGTCAATTCTGACTCACAACAACCCTCATTGGGTTTCCAAAGTGGTATATCTTTATGGAAGTAGATCGCCCAGTCTTGCTTCGGCTGGTGGGTTTGAACCACCAACCTTCTGGGTAGCAGTCAGATACCTCAGGCACTGTGCTAGCAGAGCTCCTTTCATATGCATACGAGGCTATTGAAAATACCATGACTTGGGTCAGGCACACATTAGTATTCGAAGTGACATGTTTCCCCTTTAACAGTTTTTTTTTTTTTTTTTTCTTTTATTAGGATTTGGGTGAAGATTTACAGAGTAAATTCACTTTTCATACAGCAGTTCACATATACTTTGTCTCATGTCATTGACCAAAATTTACAATGCAGCAGCTCCCCTCCCACTTCCTCCCCATAGTTACCTCCTCCCAGTGTCCATCCCTTCATACTCTTCGAAAGGCCCATTTTCTGCCAACCCTGTATATGATCTTGGATACACTCTCCATTTAGACATGACCTCGAGTTCTATTCCCACTAAGATTGTAGCCGAGGGTGGCTATGGGTCAAAAGTCGCCTTGAGGGCACCTGACGACAACATTCATAAAATCTTTGCAATTTGTTCTCAAATTTAGTCATCAACACTACTACTAGGAAGCTCTTTCTCTGTTTACTACTGAATCAGGATCTCTGGATGTGGAACCCTGACAACTATATTTTTAAAATAAACTTATTGAAATCAAATGACTCTGACACACAATAAAGTTTGAGAAACACTGTTATGTATCAGACAGATTCACGATAATTGTTCATTATCAAGTGCATTGATAATTTCTGAGTGTCTGATTTTGTGAAATAATGTCAATTGATTATATGGACTCTTGGTCAGGCTTTCTCAGCCTCAGCACTACTAATATTTGGGGCTGAATAATTACTTGATAGGAGCTCTGGTGGCATAGTGCCTAAGGCACTTGACTGCTAACCAGAATGCTGGCGGTTCAAACCCACCAGTCACTCCTCAGAAGGAAGATGGGGCAATCTACTTCCCTAGTGATACTGCCTCGGAAACCCAAGGAGGGGTCTCTATGAGTTGAGTCCGACTGAATGGCACATAACAACAACAACAGCAACGCTTGGAAGTAAAGTTGGGCAATCTACTTCCATAGTGATACCACCCCGGAAACCCCAGGAGGGGTCACTATGACTCGGGTCTGACTCCAGGGCGCTTAACAATAACAATTCATTGATGCAGTGAATTTGAGACTTTCACTTTTTTTTTTTTCTAATATAAATTTTAAATGTTGTAATTTCCGTCTAAGCTCTCTCTTAGCCACAACCCTCAGATTTTGTGTTTTCACTTTCATTCAGTTAAAAATATATATATTTTTAAATTTCCACCATCATTTTTTTTGTCTTTGTGGGCTATTTAGAAGTGTTTTGCTTAATTGAGGATTTTTCTGGCTGTCTTTCAGGTTTTTTATATCTAGTTTAATTCGATTGAAGTGATAATTTC